CGTCCATAATAATATAATATGTGATATATATATATATATATATATATATATAGTGAGCGAGATATGGACCCAGATAACTTTATAATTAATTACGAAACTTGTAAATAAAGCTAATGGAAGCCACAGAGCACTTAAAGCTACTGTTACAGTAATTAAAAATTTTAAATTAATATTCTCACTGTTTCTCGGATTAAGCAACGTACGACGTTCATATTAACCGCGGTATTACACTGTTCGGTCAGTCCGCTCTCCTTGCATTTATTGCAGTTAAGATTCCGTTATGATGTTCCTCTTCACAGCTCTAACTTTGTCTTGTTACGTTTTCAGTTTGAATATGTCACAGCGATACTAATTCAAAGCTATGAATAATGTTGTCTGCCACTGTTATCTTTCCACTTTGGTGCTATTCATAGTACAGCGTCGCTTTCCGTAAACCCACCTTCAGCCACGTAATTACAACGCCGTTAGGAAATGAGTTTAGTTGCGCTCTAATAGAATGATATTAATAAATTAATGACAGGCAGCCGGAGAGCAGAATTTGTGCTTTTAGTTTGTTCAATAGTTCTGATACCGCCTAATTCGCTTAGTGGGGGGTGGAGTCCAACTGGGTCCACTCGGTACGGCGGCTAAGGATTGGCCTATTGTACCTGCCCCGGGTAATTATGATGCTGGAGAATCCGGTGGAATGAAGATTGGCAGGGGAAACCGAAGTACTCGGAGAAAGCCTGCCCAAGCGCCACTTTGTCCACCACAAATCCCACTAAACCAGACCCAGGATCGAACCCAGGCCGCCGCGGTGGGAAGCCAGCAACTAACCGCTTGAGCTATGGCGCGGCCTATGATACCGTTTGGCTAGCAGGTGTAACATTTGTTTGTATATAATACAGTGAAAGTCCGTTTGTAACAATAGCACCACTCAGTCCGGGTCATCATGACACATGGCCCAACATTTGTAACGACACGTAATTCAATGCCAAAGTATACAGCACTGTTATTGGAAACTCTTAAGTGAAGAGGTCACTTGGTAGACTTAGGCATAGATGGACAGCATAGGCAGGATATTATTAAATTTGATCTTAAATAAATAGGTGCATTGCTTTCACCTGGCTCACGATAAAACCGAGCGACGGCCTACTGTGACTAAGGGATTCAAATTCCAATTTTCATAAAAAGCGGGAAATAACTTACGCAATCAGACGACTAACGGCTTTTCAAGTAGTCTATACTCCACTGAGTCAGACAGTTATGGAAACTCTGAATAGTGTTTATTTGTTATCTTATCAATAATTTTTGTTTCATTTTAGGTCTTCCTGGAGAAACGGGTCCTCAAGGTCCTCCGGGTCCCAAAGGCCCCAGAGGTAAATATCTATTTATGTTATCATAATTTTTCCTATGCACGCACCCTCTCTTTCTCTCTCTGCTCCAATGTGTAATTTTTTAAGGGCAGCGAAATATCGTAATGTTTGCTGTGAATTCGGATTTCTTTAAATACTAATAAATAATCAACACAATATAATGCCAACTTACACAGGGAAAGAAAACTAATAGTGAAAGTGGATTTTCACAGTCATTTAGGACATAAAATCATATAACTTAGGAGAGGCTGGTAACTACCTACTAGGCTGGAAGAAACTGGTAACCACTTACTAGATTGGGAGAGACTGGTAACTACCTACTAGGCTGGGAGAGACTGGTAACTAAGTACTAGGCTGGAGAGAATGGTAAGCACTTACTAGGCTGGGAGAGAAGACTCTGTTGAATGGCGCAATACCTTCCACCAAAACGATGGTAATCAGGCCAGAATTGAACCTGAGTTCGGAGGCTATATATTCGTCCAAAATTAAGGCAAACATTCAAGAGAATATACTATATCATAACTTAGAAGGACTCCATCCAAATCTTTAGAATTACGTGATAGAATTAACGTCTTTACTCTCAAATTTATCTCGACGTTAGACAGATTTCTGAAACAGACTCATTGATTGACCACCGAAATCATGTGTGGAAGAGGGGGATAAACGGGGAAGACGGTAGGCAGGTGAGAATATATAGATGACCACTTTGGTTGGAGATGATGATGATGATGATGATGATGATGATGCCGATGAGGAGACAATGAAATTAATTTTAAGCATTTGCTTATTTTATTTGCCTAAAATGTGGTTGGTCCGAATGAGAACAGAAACAGGTGAAGAAAATTATCGTCTGGAATACGACATGTGTAGTCTGACAGTTTATCGATGATTAGAAGAAATGCTTTGCTTCCGTCTTCAGAGTAGTATATAGGTATAGCACGTTCCTGCGATGCGTCGGTAAACTGCCACACCAAAAATTAAATATTACACATTCGCTTCTTTCTTTGGAAAAGGAATATAGCTGAAACCTGAAATCCCGGCCTCTGCGAAATATGTCCGAGAGCTTTCCCATGAGAAAGCGTCACTTTCACCCAATTTCTCTTCCCTGAGTTCTAGACGCCTTGTTTAACTTCTTTCATTCATTTTATATCAACCACCTCCCATCTCATCTACAGTTATTTATTTACCACTGCATGCATGCTTTTGAGTTGTGTAACTAACATCCTGAAATTTAGGTTGGAATCTTTCCCTTATTTACTTACAGAAATAGTTTTCGCATAGGTAGCCTACTCGTTTCTTCGTTTTGAATCTTTCACGTCATTTTGACACAGAATACAACACGACTGACTGAATGACTGCTTGTGACACAAATGAAAGTCACCAACAGAAGTTACCTCAATACAAGTCTGAGAGAGAGTTGGCGGGAATCGAGATGCACGGTAACTGTTCAACGATTTGTTGGGAAGAAACTGACGAGAAACAGGAGGAAATCTCCATCTCTAATAATAATTAAACAGGGACAATTAAAAGCATCTGCTGTAATATGCCTAATTTTCGTCTGTAATTTTGTAGGCTGTAGGTTTGTCGGTTCTGCTACAAGCCCGAATCTCCGCGGCGACTTCATGGGAGAAGGGTTCAAATCTCCTGCCTGGGGGGATTTAACAGGTTCCACTGTATAAATTGTGAGGGTTCCCAATCTCAGAATCATAGTTCTCTAACTACGCGTATATTTCACCAGAAAAGTCGTTCTCTTTATCACTGGGTCCCATACATTTGAGGGCAGTCTGAACTCACAATCTCCTCCCGATTTACAGCAGATAAAAGGTGGTATGGTGTCGATTCTGATATACGTGTATTGGATCTTCTAGGGTTGACTGGGCCCCGAGGGCGGCCAGGAAAACCAGGCACAAACGGTGTGCCTGGAGTCCCTGGTATCAATGCTTGGACGGTGAAAGTGAATGGTACAACCATCAACGAATTGCTTATTCCACCTTCAATAGCTGGTGAGTATATTCTGCTCTCTGAAACGTGTTTCAGTTTTCAATCAGAGCAATTTATTCAGCACTGCTGGCTTTATTTTTAGAGAAACCTTCTTCTGGTGGTACGTATTCCTTATACTGCTGATAAAAACAAAGAATTCTTAGCTTAGATTGTGTTTATACATCTCAGGAAGACCCAAAATTATTTTCGGCATATCTAGAGGACTGATTTAAAACTTGATATCTGTACCTAGTAACGTTACATGGAAGCAGCCTCGGACAGGAAGACCTCCCCGTAAAGCAAGATGTGGTTCAAAATTCGCTAAAAATTGAAGAGTGCGATATTATGGGTTGCAACGCCGGGTAGTTAGGCAGATGTCCATCGATGTTTCAGAGGGTGTTACAACTCAAATGTCGTTCTTTCATAGTGGCCGCTGTAAGAACTTCCAATTCGACACGTTAAATATTCACCAATTATTTGGATGTGTTAGCACGATTAGAGGCGCATCAGTGTCGATGGTTATGTGGCTCTGGATAAAAACTACTAGCATTAGCAAGTTTGTAAACAGGTAAAGCTTCCCTGTAACAGGCCGTGAAGGTCCGTAGGATTGTGAGACGTCTAGGCTCCCATATCTTCTACACAATCCGTTCACAGACGGCGATGAGTTTGTCACAACCTTACGTGCCGGCTACCCTTTACCCCCAGGAAAATTTCTGTTACTAATCTCTATTAGGGACCAAGTCGACCCCAGGGCCATAGTGCGGCTGGAATGATTGGGTCAATTGAAAAATCCAATGATCTAATCGAGAATCGATCCCGCGACCTTCCGGATTGTAGTAGAGTTCCTCAGCCAACTACGCTACCGCGTTCCCCTAGCAATTTTATAGACATATATACATCAATTAACTATAATGTGGCGTATAGACCCGTTGCTATACAGTGACTCTGTATATATCGGCCGTTGCTAGGTAACGTCCACAACATTAGCGCGTAACAATAGAAGAACAGCGTTTTCTATGTGGTCCGCGCTGCGACTGTTGTTATGGAACGACGAGGTAAATACGCCTTTACAGCAATAGAGGCTGTGTTTTCTGCGGGGTCCTTGCCGAGTAATTATCTTGAAGACAATTTACGCTACAGGAGTCAGTTGAAGATTCACCTGTGGAGTGTTAACCAGCGGACAACGGAAGCAAAATAATTTCCATTGCCAGGATACGACTAGTGGAGACTGAAAAACCTAGTGTGTAACAGTGAACTGTATAATGTGTCGATCAGCGATAGCGCCGTAGCAATTGTGATTAAGAGAGACTGTAACCGAAGTGACAATAAATCCAATCATCCGAACTAGAACTTGTCATTTCATCACGCGTATCACCCTGAGCGTGACATTTTGGTGTCAGAAGACAAAATGTCACGATATTATTAACGTAGTCACTCCACCTGTGATATAGAATTACAGTGTCGCTGCCTCTGAACAGAGCGTGACTATGTCGGTAGTTCTGAGAGAATTACTCTCAATCTACTGCCTATATCATATCATCACGTCCGGGCATTCGTCTCCTCTGATGACTTTTGAACCACTTCTCAGATTACCATGAGACTTGGTATGAATGTCATATCAATACAGGCCATCTTATAAAGTAGAGCTTTTCGTTTATTACAATTATCAGCACAGAAGGGCATGTGAAAATACGAAGTGGAGCGAATTTCATGTAAGGACTTTAAACTGTGTATGATAACAGATTTCTGAAAAATAATTTTTTTAATGTACTTAGTCTGTTCAATGTGAATCAACAACATGGCGATCACGCGAAATATGTATTAGCTACCGGTATCACCGCGATAAATAGTGACTCATTCAAAAAAGGCGTATGAAAATTCGTATAAGGACGGATTATACACATACATAGAAATTTTGTATGAAGTGATACATGGCAACACTTTTAGGGTATATCTGATATATGTAGCATACATGTAATCCGTTTCAGCCGAAATTATGCACTGAAATGTGTGAGAACACAGTACGTCCCTAACAGTTTATATGTCTTCATAACGTTGCTATACAATATAAAGTGGAACGTTTGAAGTAAAATAGGATATCTCTGGCTTTTAATCAGACCAGCTTAAGATATCTCATTATACGAGCGCAAATAAATTCTNTTACAATGACATAATGACAGGCAATGAAATAGATTAACGTAAATGGAGCACCTGATGATGGCACTATAGTGCCGAAACATGTTGTGAAATAACAAGTGAAACTGAGTGCACTAAAAGACGGACACTACATACATATCATGGACGAAATTCTGATACATATCCGAAACCGAAAAGGCAAGTATGAAAATTTTAAGAGCAAATATAAAATTTAAATTCTGGGACAGCGTTTTTAATGAACGTCAATTCGTAGTTCCGCCTGCCTGGTAGCAGAACTATACTCGTATTAAATGGAACTGCACGCACAATTGAGTTATTTCTGTCAAAACAATTCAAATGGTGTTACTTCAAATATAAACATTAGAGTAGAATTTTACAAGGTTTAATAAGAAATTTTTAATATTTTTGGGGGGAAAAGTTAATTTTCTCCCCACGTCAGGGTTTGGCGCAATGCACATGCTTCTTGATTAAGTAAGCAATAAATATTAATGTACGATTTGAGGTTTTCACGGCGGTGACTATGAAGAAAGCAGTCTTTTGAGATGTGGCACCGTGTAGATGTGGTTTTAACCGACGTTTCGGAGGAACGTATCGCCCCCATCTTCAGGGTAGAAGGAAAAATAAGAAAATCCGCAAGCGAAGAGACAGTGAGCAGTCTGCTTGCACCGGTTCTCACTGTCTTTTCGCTTGCGGATTTTCTTATTTTTCCTTATACCCTAAAGATGGAGGCAATACGTTTCTCCGAAACGTCGGTTAACACCACATCTACACGGGGCCACATCCCAGAAGACTACTTTCTTCAATAAATATTAAGTTCACACTTTGACATGACATTTGTTCAGGTCCGTCGTTAACTTATATATACCTCCTAGTCTCCTAGAGACAGGTGATTTCCACAAAACACGGTTCCTATATTCGGAGCTGCTGGTCGCTACCAATAGCTTACTTACGTATGCAGTTCTGTTGTTTGGGTTGTATGAACAGCAAGAGAAAAGCTTCTGTTTAATTCAACTGCGTTATTTGAACTTGTCTGTTTAAAACAAAGTGACAGTACATTCAAGAATTATCCGTTCGAATCACGGCAAATCCAAAATTTATTACCCACCTAAATAGACAAGAACTCTGATACCATCACTGACGCATAGGGAAAATATATAAAATTCTATTCATCCAAAACACAATATCCGTTTAATAAATTTATCTGTTGAAAACCGGCGTTCTTAAATTTGGAACTATTAATTGCGTCCTTGACATAAGGTTATAGAGGCGCAGGCCCCGCCGCAGGTGGCGGTATTTATCACCAGTTCTCTGTAGCTCAAATTAAGTTAAATGGTGAGAGGAGCGTCCTTTTAGAGCGCCAAAAAACAATTCAGTTTTTACGCTGATCCGCCGGAAAACTGTAAATACATTTTCATGGGGTTTCCCTTAATTCGCTTAATGGGGGGTGCAGTCCAACTGGGTCCACTCGGCACGGCGGCCACTGATTGGCCTATTGTACCTGTCCCGGGTGATTATGTTGATGGAGAATTTGGTGGAATGAAGATTGGCAGGGGAAACCGAAGTACTCGGAGAAAACCCGCCCCAGCGCCATTTTGTCCACCACAAATCCCACTTGACCAGACCCGGGATCGCCGCCGCGGTGGGAAACCAGCGACTAACCGCTTGAGCTATGGCGCGGCCCTATGGAGTTTTCCTTAGGCACGGTATTAACTTTCTCTTCCAGGAAAGTCAGCAGTATTTTCTTAAATTTAAAATACGACAATTTTTAAAACGTGAAACATCAGTTCTATATGCTTTTCTGATGTACGTACATTCCTATATCATTTTTGACATTATTTGATGCCCTATTAGCAAGTGAACAGAGCTCTCTCCCTCACGAGCCAGGGATCTGTCTGTAGTTCAAATGGTTAAGCTACTATATACTGATGCCGTCAATCATCTCTGACAGTTCATAGCAGGGAAATCCTGGAATGTGTAATGTGATGTAATTAGTCTGTTATATACTACATAAGTACACTGACAGAGCTGGCTTGATGTTATGTATCACATATGATGTTACTGGGCTACATTTTAATACGTAGGTATATCAGTATTCAAGAAATTGCCATAGGAAGATTTTGCAATTTATTCTTCGAAAAATAGCATAATGTGTTGCGAGCCGAATTAATCAGCCTGCTTCCCTCTACGTCATTCCATTCTGTACAAGCAGTGGTATGCATAATGAGTCAATAATTCTTTGCTTTTCGATAAGAATGGTTTAAGTAAAAATCATTGAGAAGAGCCTGAATTAACTAAGATAACTTATTGATAAAAGTAGACTTAACCCTTTTTATTGAACATTAAATAATGATAGTGTATATAATTAATCTTTAGCTTGTATTCTTCGCTAAGAATAATTATAATGTTCAAGTTAAAGAGGTTGAGATGAGCAGGGAACGTAGCACGAATGGGGACGAAGAGGAATGCGTATAGGATATTGGTGAGAAATCCAGAAGGAAATACATCACCAGGAAGATCAAGATGTAGGCGGATGTATTATATTAAAATAGATCTTAGAGAGAGAGGATGGGATGTTGTGGAATGGATTGAGCTGGCTCAGAATAATGACCACGGTGAACACGGTAATGAACCTTCGGGTTCCATAAAATTCTGAGAAACTCTTGAGTAGCTGCACAACTGGCGGCTTCTCAAGAAGGGCTCATATTCATGAAGTTAGTTTAGTACATAACTTAATTGCCTGTTTTCATTAATATAAAAATGATAAAATTAAACCTCCGACTTCATTATGTTCATAGTTTGTAACGCAAAAAAGAAATGAGTTGCACGTAATATGTACATGTATTTCCCTTGTCTATAAAGATGCCTG